CTATGCTAATGATGATGTTAGAACAATAACAGGTGGAGACAAAAGAATAAGCAGGTTGAATGTGATGCCAAATGTTGACTGGCATACAAAACTACTAGGGTATACTTACGTTGAATATAGTAAATGACAATCCAAATGGTACAGAGAGCCTAGATAGAGGTATAGAGCTTTTTATATAGAGGTATATAGCTTTTTACACAGAAAATAATCTACTATCCTGAATGATAGCTTTATATTACATATCTATCAAAGGAATATAAAGAATGACCTTAGATCCCCTGAGCCTCTGTGGGGAAGCAATTTGTCCTAGAGTTAACCCAGAATAATGTCCTGGTATTAGCACTAATGTGCATCATGAGTGTTTTCCATGTTTGTTTTCACAATTTACAGGTACATGAACCAATAAATTGGACAGAATCCTTTTGCCTTCCTCAAAGGAGATATCAATTTTTCCTGCAACCCTACATCCTAAGCTAAGCCTCTTTGCCCTTTTTTTTCATCGCACAGACATTCCTTCAACTTTGCCTTTTGATTATAATCACGGTCAGAGTCACGAGGATGGAGTTACTCCAGTTACACACTGCACATGCACATGCACACACATGCACAGCCTCCTCATGTACTGCATATTTTGTCCAGATGTCCAGTACCTCTTTCCATACATCCAGAGGAAGTGCATTGGATGATCTTTTGCCGCCTGAGATGCCACATGAAAGGAAGCCGACACTACCAATAGGTCAGTGCGGTGCTAACATGAAATAAAGGATGTGTCCATATTATCCCAATTCAAGATGGTCATTCCATATTCCCCCATATTGGCTTGCATGACAAAATTGACAACACAGTCTGCAAACCGCAAGTGAAGGGGCAGGCACTTTGCACAAGCATTCTGGAGAGACCATAGAAGAACTTTGAAGAAATAGTTTTTGTATACATGCTGCTATTAGGAAATATAAGCTTAAGATTCTCAAGGCTCATATTAGTTTCAGGGTCATGAGTCAAAGAATCGCATGCATACGACATTGAAGATGTTGATGTATCCCGAATTCCTGTAAGAACTGGATCAATGAACAGGTCTAAATATTTCGACAAATGCATGTACCCTTTGATAGAACTATTTTCAAAATTCGCCCAAACTAATTATTCAGTCTGTAAGGGGATTCATTGTGAAGGGCCATATTACCCCAATGGCCATATTCCCCCAAGTTACCCTACTGACTCCTTAAGGATCTCATCAAAGAGAATGGAACATGTTTTATAATTCCAGGTGGAACAGATCAGGAGATTCAGCCCTTCCAGAAGGGGGCCAAGCAGGACCGCTCACTCAACATCTTGGTGATAGCTGCAAGGTACAACTCATAAACAATGATCTGAGAGCAGGCGAATCAAGTTCTCATTATGTGTAGAGGCCCTACCTTATTGAGACTGCAGCAAATTGCAATTCATCTGATGCTGGCTTCTTAACTGATTATCTAATCTGAAAAAAGTAAGTGCTTGTGGTGGATAGACCTAAAAGCAGGTTGAAAGAACAGTAAGCACAGGATTCTCAAGGTCAAGGGTCAATCAAAGAAGGCAGGGTCCAGGATGAGGATCACGCCAACCATCAAGGATCGTAGAAGAAAGGTCTGACGGATTTCCAGGGATTCACTGGGATGCCGAATCCTGCTAGCTAGAGGCTTTCGCATGGGGCATCAAAAGAACTTAGTGGGTAAAATACCTGCAGATTAAAAACCTTCTTGTGAGATGGGAGACTCTAAAATGAACTGAGAATGCACTCAAAGACAAAATAGATTTCCAAACCCCTAGTCATGTAGCACTTCAGCCTTAACCATGTGAGACTCAGCATCAAGTCTATTGGACACTGAGCCATTTCTTCTGAGTTAGGAATAACAAACAATCATGATGACAAAGAAAGTGTTTTTTCTTCACTTTAATCAAAATGTAAATACATTAAATGCATTTAAAAATGAAACAAGAATTGTTAAAATGAAATGCTACAAATCTGGGAGAAGTCTACTGACACCTGCTGAAAATCGATGAAAACTTTACCAATATATTAGACCACTCAGAGAGGAAACAAGTTGCTATTCTTGGTTGCACTTTCTAACTAATAACTGTAACCCACCCAAATGTTGAAAGTTAAACAATGAGTAAAAATATACTTAATTAATTTAATTTTCCACCCTGTGTGTTAATTTGGTCAGTATGAAAAAACTATTTTTTCCTTTAAATTTTCCTATCAAGAAAATTACTTTTCCTAACAACTTTGAATATTCTCTGGTTAAAAAAAATTACTTTCTTCTCTCCATTGATGGTGCCCAACTTCCACATGGAATTGCAGACCACATGTCCACTGGATTAGACTCTGGGTCTTATGAGGTCAAATCTGAAATTCTGCCTCTTTTCGGGGGACGATACATAAGCTCATTTACCCACCATTGAATCCCAGCTCTCAGGCCTCTCCGATATGAACAAATCCCTTTCAAACCCTAAGTCTGCAACATCGAATGCAATATTCTGCAGGGCCCAATTGCTTACAACTCTACATAATAAAAGCATGGAATTTAATACCTTCACCTTCACTTCCCTCATTTACCTCATTCTCACCTCCCAATGATTAAAGAAAAATAAATAATAAATAAAGCACGAAAAATTGATAATTTTAATCATTCCTAACAATGACCTGTTTCTGGAAGGCCTAGCTATTCATCAGAATCAGACTAATGTATTGCACGCAAACTTTAGGCCTTGAATGGTCGTGCAAAGTAACCTCCCATTAACCTAAACGCAATGCAGATCGAGGTGAAGGTGCCTAATTCCGCGCAGCTCGGTCGGAAAAACTCTTGGGTCACCGTGGGAAATCCTGCAGAAATGGGACGGGCCATGATTGCGTGCTCTTCCCCCCATTTCCGGGCGACCACGTGCTCTCACTTCGTGGACGCCATTGCCCTTGACTTCGCACGTGGGAAAACGCGCGGAGTCTCATGGTGACGTCACGTCCACGAGGAGCTACTACATACGCTTGAAACTAGATGTCTCTCATTACGGAGGCGATCGACTTCCGCGGTGGAGGCTTCACGAATCCAACCTCATGGTCGAAAGAAAGGCGCATGTCTACTAGCGATCAGTTCCACTAGGTCTGGCTACGAGAGGTTAGTGAGTCTCTGCTTGAGGTTTCCCCATCCATCCCAGCCATTGCAACAACACTAGTCGTCTCTCGTCGGCGCTTTCGGTCAATCCGGAGTGTGTACCAGTATTTCTTTAATTTCCTATTTTATTTCGTTTCTTGATAGGCCTTGGTAACGCCTATTACCTTCCTTCGATCTTTCCCATAAAGCAAATTCAACCTCCTTGCAATCCTCTCCGAGAGCCTCAACACGAACTAAATCGGACACGCTTCTCACCATCTCAGAACAGACCCGCTTCAGAGAATTTGAAGCTCCATTTTCCCCGGGGTTGCGGGGAACACTGCATTTGGAGATGTCAATTTCATTCCCGTATATTATTATAAACTAAAAATAAAATAATTATACTAACCTGTTGATGATAAGTGTCCCTTTTGTTGTTTGCATTGCACCATTCCACCATAATAATAAAGCGGAATGAAGTACCTATAATTCCGACTCAGCGTGCTGACTCCTATCCGTCCCCCAATGTTGTCGGATATCGTGTCGCAATTATGTCAGATTCATGAATGCTTCAGCCTTCGTATCGGCGTCTGGATCTTCTTTTTCTTTTATGTATGAAGCATTTTCGTGTTCACAAGATTGAAACTGAATTGGAAGGATTGATATCATTTACATGCATTTTTTTCCCCCACCTTTTTCCTTATCCCCTCCAACTCGCCATGTCTGAAACCTCATGGAATGACTACCTCATAACTTAAACTGATTGAGAACTGATTTTTTAATACATGGCGCACACGGTCTTTCTTCACCAACATCTAGGAAAATAAATAAACACTTTCTTGAACCCCTTCCGGCAACAAAATTCAACCTCCTCGTATTCCTCTCTGAGAGCATCAACAGGAGCGGAATTCGGCATACTTATGTAGCGAACCCCAGGGGATCACAAGATATGGGGCACGAATGCCTCGCTACATATGGGGATCAGACCCAATGTGGTCGGATGGTAATCAAGAAGGTTGCGTGTTCTTAGAGATGGTAAATTAGCGAGAGAGAAGCGAAGTCTCAGATCTCCATAGACTCCAACTAGGAAGGAAGGTACGTCCTTAGATCAAATTAACAACTGTGCAGAATTTATTAGGATACTCAATGGGGGAGAAAGACCGGAAGGAGAAATACAGGGAGATACAGTCTCACGGTTGTAGCTGGGGCTCGCACGTACTTCGTCCTGATACGTGGACGATCGAATGTGTTGGTTCCTGGCCGCCGACCGTGATCACGGTCGTCGACTCGTGATGAGTCCACAGCAGTTCGCTATACCGACCAGCACGCAGTTCGAGACTCACACCGCAGTTCACTGAGTTGACTGGCTGTGAGGGTCAGGCTGCGTGACTCGACACGCCACGTGTTGTCCGGCCGAAGGGTCCTGGCGCATTCAGGCGCCCACGTGTTGTCCGGCCGAGGGTTCGTGACGGACTCGCGCGTGCTGTCCGGCCGGAGGTTCAAGACGGACTGCTGCGTAGGGCAGAGGTGAGGGCGTGAAGGGGCGAGAGGAGGTCCGCTATGGGGACTCGGCGTAGTGACTCGGGGACTCTTCCCCTCTGCTCATCCATGGGCACGAGGAGGACTCCACAGCATCAGCAGGCATGTCCAGTGTATTTTCTTAACCTTCAAGTTTTAAACGGTGTATAACGTGATACATCCAACCGATATCGTTCAAAATTTGCAAAAGCCTTTTTGGAAACAGGGAGTCGTCAGCTTTCATGAACATCTTTAGTATTTTAAGGGAAACCACCGAAAGATGTTTAAATTCCTTTCTATTAAGAACTTAACCAACAAATCAATGGTTCTGCTTTTCTCTGGCAGGGATGCAAGATGTGCGACGAATTTTCCTACCTGGGACGGATGAGAAACTACGGAGAAAGGGGACCTTTTGACATCAAGAATAATCTCAATATATACCTAGGGGCAGACGATGAGAGGCCCCTCAAGATAGTCATAGGAGAGTACGTGGCACAGAACTACCCAGAAGCCGGCAATAAGGCCTATTCCCTACCCGAGGGATATATTTTGAGAGAGAAGCTAATTAGGGAGCTTGAGGAAACGGCCTATAAGAATGAAGCAGATGAGACATGTAAGGAAGAGGTGGATATGCCATCGAAGCATCAGTCTATTGCCAAGGTGTTCGATTGCCTCAAATACGCATTCGAAGGTTTGCCATCGTTAACAATCGCTGATTATACCTTCACAGACACCTTGCTAAAAGTCATGAATGACCACCAAAAGGATGAATTCCTTGATGTATCCGGAGTCAGGAAAGAATACCTGGAATCTGGAGCTCATGATGTATTTGGGATAGCCATATCTGGCAAAGACATCGTGGGGATGTTCTTCCAGATTGAGGAAACGACATCAAATGAAAACCAAATGACATTTTTTCAGATGTTTAAGAGGGCTACACAAAAAGTTCTGGAAGATATAAACATTTTTCGTACCTTATGCAATGAATTTCCACTTTCGTCTGTGAAATTAGCAGGTTTCGTCGCTTTCCCGATGCTTAGTGAAACTGATATGCAGGAAGTGGTCAAGTGCAAAGAATGTAGGGAGAGAATGCTCACTTCAGAAGATCTGAAAACCAAGGAAAGATTCATAGGCTTTTTGGCAAGAAATGACATAAAGTTGGAAATTCCTTCAGAACTGGGTCCAGAATCATACCTTATGACAACCTTTAAAGACATCTTTAGTCTCTACGTTTGTGCAGCATCAGCTGTGGACCTCCCACGAAATCCCACTCAGTTATACACCAGGACCGAGCAACACATGAAGCCGATGCTAGTGATTCTCACCCCAAGACAGAGAGAGTTGGTGAAGAGCAATGCGAAGGTCATTCTAATGACTGGCACAAGCGGAACGGGAAAAACATTTGTCCTTAAAAGAAGAGCCCTGGAGTTGGTGGAGAAAAGTGACCCCGTTATGGTCTTGAATCTTTCAGGAGGCGATCTCACCGAAGATTTTCGACAGGACTTCCAAGGTAAGATATTACTTAAAGTCTTGAATAATATCCATGTCTCTTCAAGTTGTTTCATTTGTCTAGCAATGTGGATTTGCCTCGGTATCATATCGGTTTGATGAGCTTCACAACTTGTATAATTATTGAATATTAATACCTGGCATGCTCGCAAAAACGTTTGGGAACTATATTTTAGAATATTTTGAAGAATTTGGAACTCCTCATGACCTTAATCATTTCATCAGGCTCCTGAAAATTGAAGTAATCCCTTGCTACGACATGCATGTTGGGCTATAAACTTTTTTTCACCGGCCTCATAGCCTTGATCAGAAGTATTCACACTATGCGCTTTCTTTTTAGCCCAGGTTAGAGATTCTAACCCCAAACCGATGCCTCATTTCTCCTTTAGGTTCATGTGCATTTGTAGCCACAATAAATAGGACGCTGATGATACCATGATAAATGCATAATGTATGAAAATTCAGTGTGGTAACAAAATGGATTTGTGAGGACTTCCTTATGACTTCTACCGAGGAATGATCGTTACTTTCTTTAGTTAAAGGGCCTGTTAAATCATAATGGCAAGCCTGATTCGAAGATGAACAACACTCATCGATGAGCAACAGGGCGATATTGTATATAAGGTGCAATGAAAAAGCATGTCCCGGTGTACTACGTTTGGATAATGTTGAGATGTGACTAAGTGGATTCATGAAATATAGTACACTTTAGAAGAGGTACACTTCAAGAATAACATTTTCCTACTTGAGTCACATAACAGTTCTGCCTTGCCCTAGCTAGTAGCTTTCTGAGATACAAACTTTCTTCCAGATCGATATATGCACTGATATGAAGAAAAGGTATCTTAATAATTCAGCTGAACTAGGAAAATAGAGATAAAAACTTCCTAACGTTCACGAAGCAAGAGAAGGGGCATGCCACGACGAAGACGGAATTTTTTCAAAATGTCTCTACAGGGACACGCTGCCAACGATGCTGGGGGTATTCCTGAATTGTAAAGAACGGGCTCCCTGCTAAATGTGGCTCGGATTCATTTGCGAGCATTACAGAAAAACTTCCTTGATGTGGTCGTGAGTGCTGCTACGTTTTCTTTATGTTGCTAGAAGTCGATGACCGCTAAAAGGAAATCAAATATAACTAGCGGCCTACGACCGCTACGCTGGCCGTCTAATAAGGGGAAATTTGAATTGTCTATTGTACGCATAACGTCTCCTTGACAATCCTCTGTTCATCGCATTACTCATTCGGAACTGAACCGCTTCATTACATTTCTAAACATATACATTACAGTACACAGGGAGATTCCTAAACACCAACATGATATTCCAGCTGATTGTCACAATCGCCATTGTGAACGCCTCGGTTTAGCACGTTTTCATGAGACTTAAGACGACTTTGCTGATTTCATCTTCCTAGCACATTCAATAGTCTTGCATCACTGATTAACTCATGGGCTATTAACGTTAGCGTATGGTACAGACACCAATGATTCCGAAACAGTACGGACAATTTCCACGAACTTGTTCGAAGGCACAGAGGTAAGTTAGTACATGTGTAGCACAATGCTAGCAATTAATTATTGAAAATGCCTCGCTGCCATAACACCAGTGAGCAAGATTTTCAGAGCCTCAGGGTAATGTGCGAGTTGCAGCAGGAGCATTTTTCCGTTGTACCAGCAATATGAAACAAATGCCCCTCCCTACATCAAAATGTACAGCCTGACAGTGCTTGCTGCGGCAAACGACTGTAGTTATTGTGATGACATGGAGAGACCTGAAAAAGTGTCCCGAGTTCCGTGGTTTAATGGGAGCACACCTGACCGGCAAGCAGGAGGTCCGGGTTCAATTCTCGGCCTCCCAAGGCTTTCGACACCTGAGTGCTGCATTCCTTGCATCAATTTGCCTAGCAGGCTGCATGGCTCTCTTATTCCTGAGCTCAGCATTCGCTTCCTCTTGCTGTTCAGCGGTCTGAGCAGCCTTACATTCCCTACGTGCAACCGGGCACTGTTCATCACTCAATTTAGCCATTATGGCTAGCACCTCCTAAAAGCACCGACTTAGGCACTTCGCACCGCAACTGCTGTGGCAAACGTTGTTTCCGCGTTAGCACCAATCATTTATTAAACAAAAAACAAACAAAACAAAGAGAACCAAAAACCTACGTTATTATTTTTATTTCATTAATCATGAGAACTCAAATAAATCGGCCATGACATGAAACGCAAACAGAAAACTTTTGCATGGAAGTGATGTCCCGAACCGCCATGCCTGACCTAACGGAAAAAAATTAATGCAGTAAAAAAACACCTCATCAAATAATGTATTCAAATGAACTTGCAGTCGATCAGTGAAAACGTGACACGCATTCAGTTATTATTGTTACGGAGGGGAGGTGGCAGACGGACGATTTATTTGAGTTCTCATGATTAATGAAATAAAAATAATAACGTAGGTTTTTGGTTCTCTTTGTTTTGTTTGTTTTTTCGGTCAGGTGTGCTACCACTACACCACCGAACCCCAGACATTCAGTCGAGTCTCCCGATGCCATCCTCATCCGTCACATTATCACCCTTTGATTGACACAGCTAAGTATGAAGCCTGTGGCTTAGACTGATATAGCTTGATGGACCTGGCGCTAAAAGCGTTGGATGGCCAAGCCTATGGCCTGAAGTGACAGACTCGTAGGCCTTGCGCGCTGGGGTGACGGCCACCAGCACCACAACTCTCGGGCTCTGCGAATTAAAGAACAAGATGGCCTGGAATGGCATGGCATCGTAGGCCCGCGCGTTGGGGTGACAGATACGACCACGACTACCACTCCCCCCCCCCCCCCCAATTTTTACCTCTTCTAATTAAAGTATTAGATTACATTTTTGTGAGACAGGGGTTAGGCTCAAGCCGTTATTCAGGCCGTGTTTCTTCACCAGCCATTATAGTTTCTGTGACTTTTCTCTTGTTTTTTTTCTTCAGGAATGTGGCATTGCAAAGTTTCGAAGGTAAATAAGCTTGAAACCTATCACAAAGCATTGCCTAGGCGCTTATTTATTCTTTAAACTCTTCAAAACACATCCGATCGATGTTCATCAAGAATACCAAGAAATTTCAGGAGAGGCATTCACACGAGCGAACTATGCATAGAAGTTAGGCTTTAGCATGATCGCCTTCGAATTGGTTCCCCTGACTTGCGATACACCTCTTCCAGCGATTATAAAGAACTTGGAGCATCTGCTGTAACACATTTTGGCAAGCTAATTCAACGAGTAGGCCACAGCTGACGACACCCCTGTAATGATGAAGTCGTGGTCTCTCACAAGGTCTGTCCTTCGTAAACTCGAAATTCTTATGAGTGTAAGTGACATGAACGATTTCAGGAAGATAGGGAATCCATATAAGATGATGAACACAACTGACGGCTATCGAGGAGGAAACCGACCATGTCCTTTCCAAACTCGTCCGTAGACTACCATCGGCAATCGGTCGGTACCATGGCAATACCATGGAGCGTTTCACCAATCATTGGGTGAAATTTCCCCCACACCCTCCTTACTCGCCCGCCCTCGCCCTCGGACCTCGCCCGCCATGACTTCACGCTGTTTACCAGAATGAAGTGTTTTCTGTGAGGCTGGAAATTCTAAGACACAGGCGCTCTCCATTCAGCTGCGATCAACGCGTTGAAGAAAGTTGAGAAGAGTTCATCACAGCCGGTGTTTCACGCTCTTTTAAAACGCTGAGGGAAGTGTATCCCGAGGTAAATGAACTATTTCGAAAGGGGTCATGTTTGAATTTCAAGTCTGTGTCAAGTTTGTTGGTCGGAAGGCCGGTCATTGAACATTTTGACGGGCTCTCGTGTTTCTCACAGGAATGTGATTGAAAGTTTTTTTTTCTTGTCTCAACAGAAGCAAAAAAGGAAATCGAGGTTGTCGACGGGAGAGAGGGAAGAGAGAATGGTCTAGAAGAGGATTACGAAGGAATGAAGAAGTTCCTCAAAAAGGAAGGCAGAGGAAAACACGTACTCGTTGATGAAGTCCCTATCACACTTGGGTTCTTAGATATCATCACCACCAAGGCACTTTCAGAACACTGGAAATGGATAAATGAGTTGGACGTGAAGTCAATCACCCTCTGCTTTAGACCCAATGACCAGTCCTACACGAGGAATTTCCCGATCGAAGAGGTCAAACCAGCTGGACATGACATCACAGTCCTCAACAGTGTAAAGAGGAACACAAAGCATATATCTGAATTGTTTCTGGCCATCGGAAATTACTCCCGTCGCGTGTTCGTCTCGTCGGAGCCCTCTCTGAGGATCGACTCAGAGGAGACAGGCGGGGAATGCCTTCCTCGCTTCATAGAGATGTGGTCGTGTCAGGCTCTTCATCGCAAATGCAAGGATGAAGCGATTTGCGAGTCTGTGAGGGCCTCGCACCCTACGCACGTCATATATGAGGAATGCAGAAAGGCATCGGAGAAAATGCCTGTCTTCGTTGTTCTTGATAGCAAATCGAGAAGGTGTGCATTCGTAAAGGTATTTTCGTTCCTTCACGACAAAGTCCCTGTCATCTACCTGAGGAAATTCGGCGAATTTCGTGGAAAGCTTACTTCAGACGATTCTTTCCCTCTCGTCATTGTCACCGAGGAGGAAATGATGGGATGTCACCCTTTGAACGTGACTGTGATTCTCGACTTCCCTGGGTCGAAGTGGAAAAATTACAATAGATTGATAGTCTCCACTAGTGAAAGAAAGATCGTCGTGGTTGACGAAGAAGAATGGAGAATGGGCAAATTTTCGAAAGTCCCGAAAGAAATAAAAGGAAAACCGGGGTGGAAAATCGAGAAAAGAAGAGGGGATGCAGAAGATCTTAGGGAAAATCTAGAGAAGACATGGCAAAAGTACAAAGGAACAAACCTCGCAAGGCTAGGTGAACGGATTTTCACTATACTGCCCTTCCCTGAAATGAAATTTGATAGGGATAGGAAAAAAGATGAGGATGCAGATGTAACAAAGATGCTAGGGTGCACGTTTAGCGTGATAATTGGCTACCCAGCCTCGGGAAAATCAAGGAAATTAGATGCGTTGATCGAACGAGTGACGGGCCAAGTCCTCCTTCTCCACTCCGGTGGCGAATTGTCTCACGAGGTGTACAGACAACGATGGAAGGAAGAGAACAACGTCGACGTTGTGGACGCCCGTCAAATAAACTCTCTCCAGGACATTTTCAAAAAAGTGGAGGAGAGGTTGAGGGAAAAAAAGGAAAAGGAGAAAGTGGAGAAGGGGAAAAAGAAGGTGAAAGGAAGGAAGAAAATGGGGGAAGAGTACATGAAGGAGAAAGAGGTGAAAGAAGAAAAGGCAGTGCTAGATTCGCTGGTCGTGGTGGTCGAAGACTGTCCCTTCTTCAACGAGTTTCCGGATAACACCGCTGAGAGATTGAAAGAGAAGAGGGTGAAGCTCATCCTCTCCTTCAAACCCCATTCAGCAAACGCTTCTGAGATCTCGGTGGACAGAGTCATTGAAAAGCTGAAGAAATGGCAAGATAGCACTGTGGTAGTTGTCCGGTCGCAGCTTACCGACCTTCTTCTGATGAGGCACATCCGAGAAAATGAGACTTCAACTGGTCTCGACTTGGACTCGAAGAACCTATCAGTCTCTGCTCTCGCTGCGTCCATCGTCTGCGGCCCAGGCGTCCAATATATCCAAATCAAAGCCCAAAAATGCTCGGGACGACATTTGGGATACACCTGCCGCGGAGAAAACAAGTGCGGAACGACTGCGAATGCTTTACTTTCCTTTGTGCAAAAGGATACTTTCGAATCAACTCCTTACATCTTAGTTTCAGAAGAAGTCCTGTTACAACCACTGCAAGAGAAATTGCGGAATATCGGGAACCAATTCCCTGTGAAACATTTGAATGACTTTCGCGGTTGTGAGACTTCGGTTGTGATTTCTTTTAACGTAAATGATGACTGGCTGTTAGAAGTGTTCTCCCGCTCCAGGACACGACTCGTCATCATAGACAACCTCGTCAAACATCGGGATTTATGGAAACAGATGAAGAAAGAAGGGCGCGTTGAAGCCATCTCGTGTACCACGGAACACGAAGACGACTTGAGCACCCTGCTAAGAATAGATGATCAAGAAATGTTCCTGCTGGTAAGACTGCTTCCTCACCTCCCAACGGGAACCATCCAGAGTCCCCTTCGATGGGACTTTCCACATAAATTGAACTTTCCTTAATCAAGGTCTAATTTGGAATCGTCAAAAATGGGAAAAATCTATCGCATACTATGCCGTGTCTCATAAACGGGGATCCTCTTTACCTCTTTATAGAATGTGTCGCATATTTAAGCACTCAAAATCATAGATAAGAAAGAAAGATTTTAACTTGGTTTAAGAAAATTTCAACCAGGGGTTCTAATCCCATGTAAGGAGGTTGGGACCGGGGACTGGGACTTTCCATGGGACCGCAGCCCCTAGCGTTACAAACCAAAACAGGTGTCAATCGATAGATCTTGATGAATAGATCAAAGTTGTCAATGGACACAAATCTGTTAGAGAGTGCAATCATTGAGTTATACTGTAGGTCATCAAAAATTCAAATCTTCTGTTGCTGTAGTTCTTTTGGAACGTTTGTTAATATATTAAACCTGGTAATAGATGTTATCTTTTTTTACGACCCCTTCCAAACCCAACCGACCCATCATCCCTCAAAATTGCTTAACTTTCTCACTAATTCGGCCCAACATAGAGAGAATGCGGCTCACTCAGTATGTTTTCATTGTTAGTTTTCTGAGGTTAGAGTGCGCTTGGGTTTAATGAAAACCCACAAAAGCTGATGGAACGTTAGTCTGAATATTGCGCTTAAATTTGATTATTTTCTTCAATTAAATGATACGGAGACAGCAAATTCGCTTTTCTGCTTTGAAGACTAGGTAACATCTCAGAGACAGACGGCAGCTGCTACAATGATGTGTGAGACGGGGCTATATTATTGATGAAAACACGGAGTGAATCTTCGATAATTCCAAACTTAAGAATTTGCACAAGAAATGAACTGTCACAAATCGTATTAAATACCTCGATATATATTGCATTGAGCATACCGAATTCGGGTGCGCAGTTATATAATTACCCCTTTTTAAATTTCTTGTGAATGTACCTTGTCTTGTAGCATCCGACATGGGATGAGGTAGGAATTCGGACCGGGATGGCGGCAGTAAAAAGAGGGAACGTCTTGGACAGGAACACCGGCGCCATTCGCCTCATCTCTCCTGAGACAATAGGAGCAATCGATGAGGAGCTTCTTCAGTCTTCTCCTTTCAGCGATTGGGGATATGCCTGGAATGGTAAGAGGAAGTCTTCGGGTCTAGGAGAAGTCTGAGCTTTGATGAGAAGTCAAGCGTAGGAAATCGGTGCCGCACGATGGCAGTTATCTAGACTGTACAGAGATGGCGCCAGTGCTCTCTCCATTTGGATTGACCACAGCAGGATCAAATGT